TCAAGAGAGACATGTTGGGGAGGCCAAACGGCAATTTTAGCTGAGACGTCCCACCAAAATCGGCGCGAACGGGCTCGTGAGATCAGCCAGGGTGGCTCCCCCTTGGGGCTCCCAAATGATGCCCCTGGCAGCGTTTTGTGACCATGAGGCTCTCAAGAGAGACATGTTGGGGAGGCCAAACGGCAATTCTAGCTGAGGCGTCCCACCAAAATCGGCGCGAACGGGCTCGTGAGATCAGCCAGGGTGGCTCCCCCTTGGGGCTCCCAAATGATGCCCCTGGCAGCGTTTTGTGACCATGAGGCTCTCAAGAGAGACATGTTGGGGAGGCCAAACGGCAATTTTAGCTGAGACGTCCCACCAAAATCGGCGCGAACGGGCTCGTGAGATCAGCCAGGGTGGCTCCCCCTTGGGGCTCCCAAATGATGCCCCTGGCAGCGTTTTGTGACCATGAGGCTCTCAAGAGATACATGTTGGGGAGGCCAAACGGCAATTCTAGCTGAGACGTCCCACCAAAATCGGCGCGAACGGGCTCGTGAGATCAGCCAGGGTGGCTCCCCCTTGGGGCTCCCAAATGATGCCCCTGGCAGCGTTTTGTGACCATGAGGCTCCCTCTATCTTATCTTGTCTTGTCTTATATGGTGATTATCATTGGGAGGAGGGAGGCGCGAGCGGGAGGAAGGAGGAAGGAGGAGCAGTGGGAGGCGTCAGAGTAATAACAAGAACCCCAATCCTTAGGATATGGGGAACTAAAACAAATCAGACGCTCGAGCAAAACTTGGAGCGGCATCGCTGGGGGCAACCTTGGGGGCCTTGGGCCTCGCGAGGCCCTTTGGGGACCTTGGGGCGGCGTCGCTGGGGGCTCTAATGGGCCGCCGAAAGCCGGCCTTCTGTGGCCTCCGCTGCTGAGGTCCCCTGGCCACTGATGTGGCCGCGTCGCCCTGTGGGTCTTGGGCGGGTCGCGATCGGCTACGCAGCTGCAATCCCACTGCGGGCATTCGACCATTCCTCGTCCGTGCCAGTTGAGGTGCTCCAGCTCGTTCGCGCGGTGGCTTGCTTTTCGGCGCAGCACTGGGCGCCCGCCCTCAGCAGGCTCGCGGGATGCCAGTGAAGAAGAACATCCTGAAAGGGCAAGACGGAGGCCCATGCATGGCGCATCCATGGCAAGAGCTACTGTACGCCCCCCTCGGAGTGGACCAATGCGATTGCCGCGGCTGCTGGCGTCACGCTCTGCCAGGCCAGCCTGATGATGAAGGCGCTGTCGATCGTGTTCTCCAGGGAGCTCGAGCAGAAAGTCGAGCATCTTCATCCCAGGCATCGGGACCTTCCAGACGAACTAATACCCGCCCGTCCCAGGGCACATGAAGCTCGTTTTCGGGAAGTTCAAGGCAGTGAAGCCCGAGCCGCCCCACACGACCGTGCACTTCACGCCGTTCCACGAGGTGGAGGAGGTCTTGGCGGCAAGCAAGCGCGTGCTGGAGTCTGCGACATTCCCGTCTGGGTCGACCTCTTCGGGTTCCTCGCCGCCGAGCTCTGCCGCGCCTTCGACTGGGTCGACCCCTTCGGGTTTTTCGCCGCCGAGCTCTGCCGCGCCTTCGACTGTGTCGACCCCTTCGGGTGCTTCGCCGGTGAGCCCTGCCGCGCGCTGGATCGCCGCGGCAGGGCTCATTGCCGCCGCCGCGGCCATCAAGGAGGAGCGCTTCTTGAGCAAGCACCCCGTGTTCATGGGGATCTTGCGCGGCCCGTGCATCCCGAAGAGCGGTTGATCGCGTGGCTGATCAGTTCGCTGCCTCGCGCATCTCGGCGAGCGCGCCCGCCCGCGCTGTTCAGCTTTTTTGCGTAGCACCGTGCCTCGTCCTGAGACTTCGCGAGCGTGCTCGCGCATCCGTATGAGCCCCTTCTATGTTGAGACGCGCGTGTTGCGGGCGTCTCAGCCTGTGCACCGACTGCGTTTGGCAAATAAAAAACGCACCAACCGTTGCATCCCCCATCCCTCTTCCATCCGCCCACCCGCTCGCTCTCCGTATCTCCTCCCGCCCCCTGCCCCATTGGGAAAGATCCGAGGACGCGGATGTCGGCCAACGCAACATCACAATCGCGGGGAGTGGGGGTCCAACAAAGACGGCAACAATCATGTTAAGCCAGGTCGCTCTTACATGCGCGCGCGTCATCCAACATCCATATCCCACGCCATCCGCATCGCAGAACCTCATTTCAGCCGCACACCCAGGGACAGTGAGTGACCGCTCGCCCCCCTCACCCTGATAAAGCTTATACACGGGCTTAGGAAGCTTGCGTTGCATGGCATTGCGTTGCGCATTATCGTGTCGCGTTGCGTTGCGTTGCTGCCATGTGCATCGCGATGCCGTGGTTCCGCGCGGGTGCGAGTAAGCGCGTGGTGCGCAGTAGAGCAGTGGCGCCAGTTATCCAAACGTGCCCCCTCATCACGTTCGCCTTTCCAGCAGCCGCGCAGGGCAGTCGGGCGCGCGGGCAACCATGGCGGCTGGTGTTACCGACGCCACCATCACGCTTAGGGCCGCCGTGGTCGGCGGGCATCTTGGGAAAGTGTCGTGGTTCGCAGATGCAAAGATGGTTGCTGGTGCCATGTTCGTCAGGGTTGCCAAGTCTGACAGGGGGTGTAAGAGGTTTATCGCCAAACAGTTCGCCATGCTGGACGTGCTGATGGCCCTCCGTTGCGATGGAATCGACGAGGCCATGAAGACCGCGTGCGGCGAGGAGGACCCCCTTGCGGACCCAGGAGTGGTGGCTTCGCTGCCCAAGCGCCCCCGACGCCATATGTTCGACGAGACCGCCGATGTTGTCGACGTGACGGTGAAGTGCGAGGACGATAGTGAGCACCAGGTGAAGATGCTGGCAGAGTGGCGGAAGGCAAGCACGGTGTGGATGGAGCTCACGGACGCGAACCTAAAGTTGCTCAACAGCACGCCTCACGCCAGCCACCTCGTCACCGCATTCGTTCCCTGCATCGCCCAGCCAGGCGCCCGCTGGTGGCCTGCCCGCCACTGCGTGTACTGCAAGTACGCCGACCCGAGCACGAACAAGACTCGGTTCCGCCCTCAACCAGTTTTTCGGTATCGCGACGCACGCGACATCCAGGCTGCCACGGACGAGGCCGCAGAGAAGTTGCAGAACGCCGTGTCGGAGATGCGCGCCAAGGGCGAGGCGAAGGATATCGACGCGAGCCCTTGACGGCGAGCTGGGCGACCGCTGAGCGGCCGCCCCTATGGCGCGAGCATGCTCGCGTTCTCGTTCGCTGCGCAGCGTGCTCGCAGCTTTCACCGTTGCATTGCCATCCGTGTTGCTTTGATTATTCGGCACATCGCGCTACGGGGCGTGCGCGCTGTGAGACATTGTTCGCCGCGTAAAACACGTGAGCAGGCCCGTCGTGCATCGCGTCGCCATCGTCCCACACCCAGCCGCCATCACGCTCAAACGAGCAACCGCACCTGAGCTCGCTAACGAAAATGATGGGGGGGGGGCGGTTGGCGGACCTCATAGCGTGGAATACGACGGCGACGGGGAGTGATGGGGCAATGTGTCATCTTGGAACCAACTTCTGGCCATTGCGCGGGTTGGGGGAGGGGGGCTTAGCGGCGCGTGAGATGTCGCGATGCAACGCCGCGGGAGCAAAGCGCAGATGATGTGCCCTATTCCAGCCTCATTCTTCCCCTTCGGGGAAGGGTTTACCTCCCCCCCCATCCCCTGGTTGTTGTTAGCCGCGGGGCTTCGCGCGTGCGCACTCCTTGACTCCTTGCCTGGCAGCAGCATGGGCAGCTCACGAGACCGATGGGAATCTATACATATACACCCCGCTGGTACGACTGGGCATAGCCTAAAAAGGAAGATCAGCCACCCATCCAAGAACCCCTGGAGGACGGGAGGTGGAAAACTCAATGCGCACAGAAATACACCGAGCCAGGCTGCACACGCAGATGCCCCAAGCCTGGCTGCGCACACAAATGCCCCCAGCCAGGCTGCACACACAAATGCCCCCTGCCTGGCTGCACGCGCAAATGCCCCGAGCCAGGCTGCGCCGTGGGGGGGTAGTGGGATTGTGGAAACTCTATGCTACACTGCTTGCACTGCCATGCAACACGACCTCTCGTCGTTGATAGTTCTCCTCCAAGATGGCCCCAACATGCGCCCATGAGGCCCCAAGAGGCGCCAATATGGCCCCAAGATGGTACCATCATGGCCCCGAGAGGCTTTCAATCTACCAACATGGGGGCCCCAAGCGCCGCAACTGGTAACATGTGGTCTTACAGCGGTTCTCTACTTGATTCAGTCTAAGTGTTTGCTGGAAGGGGTACGTCCAGGGACTCCAACTCCAACCCCATGGCACTCCAAGGCTCCGAAAGGCATTCACGAGACTTCACAGAGACCCCCCCACACCCTGAAAAACCAACAAATACATTAATTCCCCGCCCCCAGGCGCTGCAAGAGGTGTTCAAAACAACTCATAAGAAACCTCATACGATGATCTGGCATTCGGTTCCCATTGTCCCCCTTTCTCCTCCTGCTCCGCCTTGCCCGCCTCATCCTCATCCTCGGCCCAAGCCCCTCGAGAACCAGCAGCGCCAGCAGCAGCGCTAGCAGCAGCAGCAGCACCAACAGAAGCAATATCACCATCAGCAACACTGGCAACATCCGCCACAACAGATCTCATAATTCTCAGTTGTTGCCCGCTATATGTTTCGCTATGTGCGTCTATTCGCCCTTCGTCTGCCAGCTTCTCTGGATGGGCTGGCGGTGATAAGCGAAGCGTCTAGAATGTTTACGTAAGTGTTTCGGGCTCCAGGATTGCACGTCTTCGTATGAGCACGCGTTCTAGCCTTATCTAGGCGTCGACGGCATCGCGTGAGCGAGTTGGTCCGCTATCCAGCTGCCATTGAGTGCCAGCGATTTCGCGCGAGACGCCCTCGCACCGTGGAACCTCCGCCTCGTCCGCCCGCCGCCGTTCAGGCTCGAGCTGTTGAGCCGCAATGTCTGACAAGACCGTCAGAGCGTTTTGGATTGCACAAGGACACGATCCACGTGATCCCTTAGTCCTCGCATGTCTGGTGCAGGCTGAGATTGCGTCCACGGCGGTGGTGCCGCCGACTCCGAAGTGGGCGGCCTCTCGGTGGAAAAAGTTTCGGAAGGGCCCTCCGACGCCAGCGACTGGTCCGATGGCTGCCGCGCTGCCGTCGGAGGCGCGGTCAGCGAAGGTGGCGACAGGGGACCAACCGCCAGATGCGCAGCCAGCGGATGTGGCGACAGGGGCGCAGCCGTCAAAGGCGCAGCCAGCGGAGCCGTGCCAGAGACCCGCATGGCCGCGACAGGGGCGCAGCAGCCGGATGGCCAGCCAGCCATCGGCCGTCGGAGGCGCAGCCGCGCCCGCGCCGAAGCGGCTCCAGCTGACTAGCAAGCATGGCCACGACACGGCGCCGACTCCGCCTAGCAAGCCGACTCCGCCTCCCAAGCCACCTCCAGGCCACCTCATACCTGCGCCGCCGACATCACCTCCAGGTCTCCCTGCGCCGCTGCCCAAGCAGAGGCCATGTGGACGCCAGAAGGTCGCCCACCACCACACGCCGCAGCACGACGGCGCCGAGTGGGGCACGAGCAGCTACACCGAGACGGGCGGCGGGCACGCGGAGGGCCACACCGACACGCGCGGCACGGACGGCGACTACATCGGCGGCGGTGCGGCACAGGCGATGACGACGCGCGACACGGACGCCTACGACGGTGTGAACATGTGGTGGGACGACGAGCTGCAGGGATACATGTGGTGGGGCGACGAGCTGCAGGGACGCGTGTTTTGGGGCGGCAAGTCGCAGCCACAATGCATGTGGTGGGGCGGCGAGCGCAACGGCGCGGGCGGGACCAGCTAGGGCTCCGAGTGGCAGGGCACGGGGCGCGACTACGACCACGGATGCTGGCGCAGCAGCCGCGACCAGTGGCATTGCGATTGGTCGGAGCAGGGCTCCGCGTGGCGGGGCACCAACAGCGGCAGCGCCACGTGGACTTGGGACCGCGGCAACGCGCAGGAGGGAGGCGGCAGCACCGCGGCCGTCGAGCACATCGTCACGACGCCGAAGCGCATGCGCGAAGCGGAGGTCAGCGAGGGTAATCGGAGTGGAGAGTTGCCAATTGCCCCCCACTCCCCAATCCCATCGGTCGCTTGACCAGTGTAAGCAGGACCTCACCCTCAGTTTCGCCCCCCCGTTCGCCGTCATTCTCCACGCCCTAATCCGCAATATCCGCTCCGCCTCGTCGCGATCGCCCATCCAACCATCGCCGTCCGCGCGAAACATCGACGGGCGAACGCGAGGGCGCTGATGGGGGGGCATAGAGCAACCGACCACTTCGAATACCCCCGCCCAGGTGCAGCATGAGCTCGGCGTCGGCGGCGGCGGAGGGGGCGCTGGTAGCAGCAGCGGCGACGGCGCGCCGACGGAGAAGGCGCGGCACAGGCAGGTGAAGGTTCGGGCGGGCCGCGTGATACAGGCCAAGCGGCTCCAGAAAGCCCTCAGCGAGCTCGGCTTGACGCTGAGATGACGCCCCGCCTTAGCTGCGTGGCCATCGAAACTGTGAATCAATTCGGGGACCCGTTAGTTGCATGGCGCCCGCAGTTCCCCGTTTGAGTATCCAGCACGCCCATCATGATTGCACGATTGGAGAACTTCGGCGAGCATGCTCGCCCTGTCGCCGCCGCCGTCAGCATCCGCATCCCACGTCTCGTCGTCACTATCGCCGCGCGGAGCATCTCATGAGACCACGTCGGCGAGCGTGCTCGCCATGCCGCCGCCGATGTCAACATCCGCACCGCCCTTGTCGCATGTGACCACTGGCTAGATGCGACAGTTGTCGCATGTGACCACTGGCTAGATGCGACAGTTGTCGCATGTGACCACTGGCTAGATGCGACAACGCACATCATTGATTGCTTGTCGCATGTAGCCAGGGGTCATATACAACAGTTGTCGCATCTAGCCAGCGGTCACATGCGACAACTTGTGCATGCAGCCATTTTAGGACACACCATTCGCAATCGTGATCGGATGGGCTGCGATGTAAGCATTGTCATGTCCGATTCTACCCACGCGTGATGGTGGCTCGGGGGATGGCCCCACCACGTGCCCCACTGATGCCTTGCGCCTGCACTGTATCCCCAGCGGCTTGAAATGCGTTGTCGGTAGCCCCATTGCACCCCGACGCCCCGTGATGTATCACACCCGCATCCTTGGCGGAGGTGGTCGGTCTTCGGGCGTCGGCTGAATCCACCAGCCACCGGGCTGCATATCGCACATGCGATCCTCTCGGCCCAGCGACCATCGGGGCCCAACCAAGGCTTCGAGGGGACCCCATCGGGGCCCCGAGAGGGGCGTGCGACTGCGCCATAAGGGCGCACATAGGGCCCCGTCGATTGATCTCTATGGTTCCCTCGATGGGTCTCTCTGGTGCGTGACACATCGATGGCGCTCTCTGGGACGTGTGGATGCCCCAATCGTTGGTTGTCATGGTCCGCTCTAATTGGTTGCGACACCATATCCCCTCCCCGACGGAATAAGGGCGGCGAGGGCGAATAATGGTATTAACGACGCGGCGTTCTGTTTAGTTCGGAACAATAGCGAGTGCAGTGCATGCACACCGCGGGTGTGGATGGCGGAGGAGAAGGGGATGATGATGGGGGGGGGTGCACCCAACTGTTTCAATATTGTCCCTACTCCTACTCCTACGCATACTCCTAACTGCGTGACGCACGCGGCGAGCTTGCTCGCCAAGCTTATTCGAATGGCGAGCTTGCTCGCCAACAAAGCTTATTCAAATGGTTTACGTCGCTCAGGCTTATTCAAATGGCGAGCTTGCTCGCCAAGCTTATTCACATGGTTTACGCCGCTCAGTTTTATTCAAATAGCGAGCTTGCTCGCCAAACTGATTCATATTAGTTGCTGGTGGCCCTCGGCGCCGTCTTTGCGGATCCCCAACGCCGCCTTCGCTTGCCCCAAACCAACAGACATGCTTTCGGTGGAGCTCCATATGGGGCCACGAAACGTGTGAGGGTTGCGCCGAATTGGGTGTGCGGGCCGCATGTGGGCGGTGGTACTGAGGCCTTTGGTGGAGCTCCCTATGGGACCACGAATCGTGTGAGTAGTGTGCCGAATTGGGTGTGCGGGACGCATGCGGGCGGTTGCGATGGGGGATTCGATGGGGCTTCATATGGGGCCACGAAACGTGTGAGCGGTGATTGCGGTCGTTTCGACACTGTCCCTCACGACGTTTGTTTCAGCACCATATGCGGTTCCCTTGTGGCACTATTGCCCCCCCCCACCACTTCCCCCTCCCACATTGCATTCGTGCGGGCCTCGTTGAGCTTCGTGGGGGCGCCTCGGGCACGTGGCCCCACCAGTCACCCACCCACGACCCGAGCAGTACCAATCCGCATCGCGGAACTTCATTTCAGCCGCGGCCCAAACTTAGTGATTCACCGTTCGGGTCCCTCACCTTTATAAGCTAGCGTGGGCCAATCTTGGGCCCTCATGGTGCTTCGGGCCCGTTGTGCGGTCTATAATGGGGCATCGCTGCCTGGCGCCGTGGGGCGCTCGCGCTATGACGGGTGGTGCAGATGATGGCGCTGCGCTAGCATTGGTGTCCCATCTGAACACATGGGCGGGGCGTGCACCGCAGCTGTTTCAGCAACTACCCGATTTGTTTTGGCTGTTACCCCCGACACCACTGTCGTGTCGATTTACTTGCCCTGTGGCGCAGGCATCATGCATGCTGCCTTCGCGGTCGCCGCGGCGGATGCTCTCGTTGCTCAGGTGGCTGCCCGCATCGAGTACGTCAACGTCCAGAAGGCCTCGTGGGTGGACGTCGCGGCCGACCAGGCGTCCGCGCTCGCCGCGAGCATCGCGCAGACCAGGGGCATCAACCTGGCGGGGGCGACACGCATCGCGCAGGCGGTATCAGTGCCTGGCAATCCTTGGATGGCCCCGCAGAGGGTTGTCATCCTAGGCGCCCTGAACCAAGCCATGCAGGCGGTGGATACCTCGGGAGGTTCGCGCCCGAACCAGTACTGCATGACCCTGGAGATGTGCTTCACCAAAGATCAGCAGGCCGCCCTCGAGGCCGCGAATAGCGATTCGCAAATGGCGGCGAGCAAGATGGGATCGGTCATGTACAAGCTGGGCATGGTGTGCCCGTCGGAGCAGCTCCTCAAGCGCGCTGGGGCGATCGTCCAGCTCCAAATCCTGAAGGCGGGCAACCTCAGCCCAAAGGAGCAGCGCTCTATCGCCAAGACTATCCAGGGGACGGTGAAGGCCATGGACAATGAGGCGCGGTACCCTCTCGTGCACGTGAAGACGTACCCCAACGACCCTCACCAATTGCCACCGAGCAAAAAGCAGTTCGCATGGGACAACGGTGCCCCCACACCATGGCAGATTGATGGCTTGCAGCAGTTCGCCCATGTCTTCGCATGCCGCAAGGCCCACAAGGGTCTCAGGACTGACGACGAGACTGCGCCGGCTGTCTTTCAGCACCGCGGGCAGGCCGCCACGGCGTTACAGCTTGGGGAGATCGCGCAGCAGGCACTGGCGCCGATCGGTCAGCTCGTCCAGCAGGCCATGGGGAACACGAGCCCAGGCCCGCGCTTGACCTACTTCGGATCCGCGGCCCAAAATGCGAAGCGCGACGATCGGGGCATCATCGCGGCCGAAGCCAGGGCCACGTCTGCCACTGCGACTTCCCTCTTCGGCGCCCTTCCGCTGCAGGACTCCCCTCCGCCGCAGGGCACGGCTGCGGGCGGTGCCGGGTCAGAGCTGAAGCTGGGCTCGGACGGGGCTGGGGCCGCCGCACCTATTGACCCAATCGCAGCGATGGAGCAGCGCATCCAGGAGGCTGCGACCGCGGGCAGGAAGGGGAAGGATGCAATGAAGCGTGCGAAGGCGAAGACGGGCATCACCAAGAAGGGCGGCAGGCAGGCAGTGGCGGGCGTCGTCAAGGGCAGCGGCAAGGGAAAGGGCAAGGGCAAGGGCAAGGGCAAGAAGGACAAGGGCGTCGCGGCCATCAAGAAGACGACGATCACCGTTGCTGACTTCAGCGACTACATCAAGTGCACGCCCAGTGAGGGGCGCAGCCGCAACGTTTTCACTTCGAGGGCGTACAGCGCCGCGAAGTCAGCCTGCACCAGCGCGGGCTGGAGCCCGACTAAGTCCGCTCCTCTGCTGAAGACCGTCTACCAGAAGGCTGGTGCGTCCTGGGTCAAGTGCTTCAAGGGCGCGTGGGCGCATGACGCCGCGCGCGAGGGCACGGATGTCAAAGGCGATCGGGCTTTGCAGCGCCAGTGCAGCTACTTCCTTTCCCAGCCCGGCTTCGCCAACAAGCGAGGCGCGCTCGGTGCGGCTTTTTTGTTCTTCTTTGCGTAGCCCCGACTCGCAGGCGAGCGTGCTCGCCATCGCTACCATCGGGGGCGATTTACCCCAGTGCGGAATTCATGAACGCGTCGCACGTTGCCCTGGTGACCTCTCTGGCGCGCGGGAATGGGGGCCCCGTGGTTCTTTGCGTGCACCCTGTCCCCTTAGGTCCAGCCGCAACCCCTTGGCCTACGCTGCCCTGCTCCTACTCTAATGCACCGCACTCTGGTCAGCTTTACCCTGCGCTAGCTTGCGACACCCGACTCTGCTTGATTCCGAGATGCTCTGCCCCATGATGCTCCGATGGTCCGACCCCGCCCTCTCCTCCGATCTGCGTTGCTCTGCCCTGAGCGCGCGCTCCACATGGTGACGTGTTTCGACCGATGTGGAGCAACCTGGGCGGTGCAATCGGCGCGGCGTAACCTCGGATGCGCAATCCGCGCATCGCATATCAGTACTCCAGTTTACATGCTTTGTTATGTTTAACTGTGGCTGGCGGGCGTGATCAGCGCGCAAGACATCGCCTGTCTAAATGCGTCTGATGGAGGGATCGCGCCAGACGCCCGCGGGGGTTTTCCGCGCCCAAGATGGGACAACTTAGAATGCATAGCAACGGCATGCACTTTCGAGCTGTCACACACACCGTACCTGAACGGACCCTGTGCGGTGCCACATTCGTTACATTTGCGTCGTCTTGTCTT